TTCTTTTAGAATCACAGAATTGTTTAGGTTGGAAAAGACCTTTAAGATCATCAAGTCCAACTATTAACCCAGCACTGCCAAGTCCACCACTAAACCATGTCCCTAAGCGCCGCATCTACACGTCTTTTAAATGCCTCCAGGGATGGTGACTCAACCATTTCCCTGGGCAGCCTGTTCCAATGCTTGACAACCCTTTTGGGGAAGAAATTTTTCCTAATACCCAATCTAAACTTCCCCTGGCACAACTTGAGGCTGTTTCCTCTTGTCCTATCACTTGTTACTTGGGAGAAGAGAGCGACACCCACCTCGCTACAACCTCCTTGCAGGTAGTGGTAGAGAGCGATAAGGTCTCCCCTCAGCCTCCTTTTTTACCAGCCTTTATTACTTTTTCTCCATTTCCTGAAGTACATTCCCCATATATAAGATATCAATACAAAATAAAACACCTCCCTCCTCCTATATATGGCTCCAAAATGAAAGTTTCAAGCCCCAGATTACATGACCCACACGGTACCAGTAATTATGTCATCCTGAAAAAGAGACTGTGGACTAGCAAGCAGACCACAACAAAATGTTGATTTAAAAGTACACCTATTACCTCAGAATTTTATCTTGAGCTGAAACTTCTGCTTCCAAGTTTACAATCTGTTCTTTTAACTTCGGAATGGTGACTAAACGTGTACCTAAAGTCGATTCAAGATAAGAAATCTGAAATACAAATATATTTGGGGTTTCACTAACGCTTGCATATATACCTTCAGGTGATAAAAACAATCTGCTTACTGAATGACACAGTGCTCTTAACCTTCCTGTAGAAGATGCTTGTTCATCTACACAAACTGACCTCCAGTTCTCTGCTCATTTAATATCCTTCCAGTTCCCTAGCACCATTCCAGTGTGATACGCTCTCTAGCAGAGTGACTTCTTTATATGTTGATCTTGTCTCTTGCTTTTCCCCAAAAGTTTATATTCTGTATTTGTTCTTTCCATGTCAGACAGTCAGACATTTTGTTTATCTACTTATTTGCACTGTCTTGGAGATAACATTTCTCACACAAAAAGCACTAAGCATAGCTATGTTTTATTGATGTTACATATAAACCAAATACAAGAATATAGTTGTCCTGAAAAAAAACCTGTACGTACAAGTGTATATTAAATCAGTAAAGATTTATTAGATACAATATTTCCTTCTAACTCACCTTCACTTTTTCAAAATAGCAGTATTAATCCAACCTGAAAGGTCAACATTTTTCATTTCCTAGACAAATGACTACTATGCCATTATTATTCACATTAATCTTAATGTAGCTCAGACACATGAATGTACAGTACTAAATACATTATTGAATTATTTTCTTACATAAGGTATTCTTCATTCTGTGACTTAATGGCTTTAGATTAAACTTTGGAACATGAATAGATAGAATTCATAATTAATATAGTTGTTTTGCTCATGGAGAAATAGATTCCAAACTATTCTGTTCCAAGATTAATGCTGAATATTATGAAAAAATAGGATATTAAACTTTAAAGTTTAAATATTAAATTTAGATAGATTAAGATGAGACAAAAAAAATAGCATCTTCTGCTTGGAATTACAGACTCAAAACTCATGGTCACTGGGGCGATTTTTTGGGTTTGGGGTTTTTTTTGATGAATACACTAAAGATACATACTCTCGTTTTTGACTGCATCAATTCAAAGTTCATTGTTTCCACTCTGTTCTTTAGGTAGTGGTTCTGAGAAGCCAAAGATGCATTTTGCTCATGAAGGGCATCCAGCTTCTCCTTAAGACGTTCATTTTCTTCCACAGTTTTATCAGAAGTTGTGGATACTGAGTAAGACTACACATAAAACAAGTTTGTTATAGACACACACACACATATATGCATATGTAAGCAATATATACATCAATGGAAACTCTGCAGAACAAATGTATTTAAATCATATCATGTTTGAGAGGGCTCCGTTGATATAATTGCCCAATGCTAGAGCGTATCAACTCCAAGCCCTAAAAGCAAAAAAATATTCATAAACATAGGAAACAAAAATAATAAAAATAAGTAATGAAGTGCAATATTTACTTCGGATTTTCTTTGCAAATCCTGGCAAGATGTTTTACCAGCATTCTTCTTACAGTTGGAAAAGCCTTGATAGTTGCAATTAGGCTGAACAAGGTCCTCCAGAGTGAAGTCTACAGCCTCATCGAAGCAGTGGCCATAATGTTCACTCGTACCAGCGCTAGGAGGGAGAGCAAAAAGTTGCTACACCGTTTTTTCTTTATTATTTTTAAATTGCTCATAAGAAGTATTCAAAAGAAAAGCACAAAAGGAGCTACTTGCAATAATCCATTAGACTGAGTAAGACAGATTTACAGTACAAGAGACAGGCTGTTCTCATTCCCAAACACACTCGTACCTGGAAAGCTCTTCCTCCACAGTTTGCAGGTTTTTTTCAGTTCTCCTCAGCTGATTCTGTAATGACTGTAAATCTGCAAGCAGGTCTTCATCAGCAGCACTTTTAGAGCAAGTCCACATGCTATATTCCATTGGTACCACACATATGGCTAAAATAATATTTAATATTAAAACATTTTTAAATGTATGTGAATACTATTTGCAAAGATACTTTTAAAGACACTGAAATAAGGCAAATAGGAAAAAAAAAGGAAAGGAGAAAAAAAGAAAAATACGTAAAAGGAAATATTGAATTTCCAAATGTAAATGTGCATTTCAACACTACCTCTTCCCACGTTCACTAGATAAAAATTACTCTGTACAAATTAGGGGTTTTTTTGAGAAAAAGAGTTCTGCACGGATTCATGAAGTATGAGAAGTTTCACGAGCTGCCACTTATGAAAACTGGGAAAACCTGCTATCCATAAGTTGCCAAAAAAAAAAAAATCTCGTACACAACGCACCTCAGTTACTCCAGAAGTCCCAGGCAGCTGGCAGGGTGCCTAAAAAGGCAACAGCGCGTAGGCAACGAAGACGCAAGACTTGCCTCGCTGTGCAACGACCAGCCATATTAAAAAAAAACCCACCCGAGCAGCGAGGACTTGACAGCACAGAGGACGC